TGGAACCTACTCATATGACTGCATCCTACCGTGCCTTGCATCATTTTAGGCTTGCATCTCCCAAGGTCGGATACTCACAAATAGCTCTGGTCACTACCGCCAGTCAGGTAATCCTTTATTGATCTTAGAAGTCATCTTCTTCATGTTTTTTTTGCGCGATATTCTTCATGTATTGACGGTAGATGCAACCATATAAATAAATCCGAAAGGCATTGAACTCTTGCCATCATCAGCTATGAGCAGATTCAAATTTCACAATTACTTTTTGCAGCCTATGGATCCAAAGAGCCTCTTGATGATAACTAAAGAAAGATCAATAATATACAGTCAATTGATTTGCCTGGCTCTGAACCTTTTCTTTCACCTCTTACGGTCCTAGCTAATTTTGCATGCCAAGTTAATAAGTTAATAAGTAGACATTTTGTTATTATGGCTCTGCTCGCTTCTAATTTTTGCGGCTGCGGCGGCAGTCAGCTACAGTACAAGCTACTTGTACTACTGGTTGCTGTGAGATGCAGCAACTACAGCCACAGCCGTCAAACGAGCACGCTTATGTTTATAGATGCACCCATCTTTCAGTCTACTCTTGTCATTCGACATTTATGGTAGTTTTGTAACCAAAGCTGAATTTTGGCCTATCAGTTATAAAAACCAATTTTCAGTTTCCATTACCTGTTTGTCCGTACACAAAAATAATTTTAGTTCCTATTTTAATGTGATGGTGAATATTCATTCATAATTATATCTATTTTAAAGGATGCTCACATGTCACTTCCAATTTGTTGTACTGAATTTTGTCTCTGTAATGTGCAGTGGTGCTACTGTTAGCGTGAAGAATTTTGTGTGTAAAAACAATTATGCAGATGAAAATTGACTATAGGATTGGTATGATCGTCCAAGGTTCTGGATTGAAAGTGAAATGTATTTTTCATTGGAAATAGTACAACTCCAGATGACGTTCCAATTGGTATAGATACGTAAGTTCCTTTAAACTGCCCCGTAGAATGATATAATAACTATATTATTTTTATTATAATATAATGAGTAGCTATCAATTTATTTCTATTACAGAAGTTTGTCTGGCTTCCGTGTTTTACAACTAATGGCGGTCTGGAATAATGGGCAACCCACACGGATCAACACAGTGAGCGAAAATGCTATTTTTGGTCATATATACACTTTTTGATTTATTATAATTTATTTATATATTGCTACTGATTGTACTTTCTGGTTTTATATTTGACTATGCACATGATGGCCAAAGAATATGAAATGACTTCGTGATCAAACTATTGACATACAAAGGAAATTCAAGACAAATTTTAACTTAAAAAAGTGCAAGCTTATCTTTCGCGTATCGTAGACATGAAGTGATAAAATAGGTTCTTACATTATAAACAATATGAGGTTATGTTTCAGTTTCATATCAAAATTTGGAGTTATATTTTAACTATCTATCTTTCTTGAAGACTTACGTAATATTGTTGTTTCAAACACACGATTGCAGTATCTCTTTTTAGGTAACAGTATAACACGCGCTCATACATACTATGTTATCGTGGTATTATATGTTTCCGTTGCAACGCACGAGCATTTACCTAGTATGTTACAGAGCAAGCAACTTCAGAGAACATGGCTACCATCGTACTGTACATTAGATGGAGCGGAATAGGAGAAATTTTTTAAAGGAGATGTGAAAACTCCAATGTAGATAGTCATGCAGACCGAGGAGGAGATAAATGGGGCTGCGGAGGCAAGGTCTGTGGGTATCCATGCCGTAGAGGCTCATGTTTTATGAGTCTATTAGGCTAATTTCAATAGAGAGTTCATAGTATTGTTCTAAAAAATGCAACGTTGGATAAAATGTAATGAAACACCGACGAAACAATCACCCTTGATGCATATGATTTCATCCTATTAAATGTGGATGAAACTACAACTTAGACTGCCCTTAGTCTCTTGCTATTATGTAACAACTATTGTAAAACTCAAATTGCTTGTCCTCTTTAAATGACATGGCCAATCGTTCCAAAAAAAACCTAGCTCATATTTCGTACTCCCTCCATCCTGTAATATAAGATATCTAACCATTCAAATTTGTCCCAAATTATAAGAAAAATCTAGTTATACAAACTCTCGAAATTGCAATAGACCAATAATCACATGCATATCTACCATTTATATCTATCACCAATCCAAATATTCTAAATTATAAGGGACTCTAGATATACAAACTCTCAAAATGGCAATAGTCACATGCATGTCTATCATTAATATCTATCACCAACCCAAATATAGTAATTATAGAGGGTTGCATACATCATTTATTTTACCATATAATATGTTCTAAACAGGGAGTAGCAGACTTAGGGCCTATTTGGATACACATGGATAGTTACTAGATGGGGCTAAAAATTAGCTCGAATTAGCTATGGTTAGCTAGCTAGATGGCTAACAACTAGTTAAGACTTGCTAAAAAAATTAGTTCACCTATTAGCTCTCCTATTTAGATGCACTAGAGCTAATTTTAGCTAGCTAGCAATTAGAATGTATCAAAAACCATTAGAATGTACTCCCTCCATCCCGTTATTAGTGTCATTCTAGCGCCCGGCCGCAGTCCCACAAAGAGTGTCGTTGTAGCTACGACATGGGTCCCACACCTAGTAAAGCAGCCAACGTAGCCTATGCCGTTTGCGGTAATAATTAAAAAATGACCCAGCCTTATCCTCTCGGCCTCTTCCCATCCGCTCGTAGTCGTCGCCCCTCCGCTCCACCTCCTCCAGTCGACGTGTCGCCCCTCCGCTCCACCTCCTCCAGTCGTCGTGCGGCGTCGCCCCTCCGCTCCGCCTTCTCCAGTCCATGTGCGGCGTTGCCCCTCTGCTCTGCCTCCTCCTCCTCCAGTCCACGTGCGGCGTCGGCCCTTCGCTCCGCTTCCTCCTCCAGTCTGCGTGCAGCGGCACATCGATCTGGATCCGGTCGGCACACAGGCTCATGAGTGGCCGCCACCTCGGCTTGCCTCCTTCGGTGCGCAACCTCCGCCCGCATCCTCCGAGGCGCCTCGTCCCTCGCATCTTCATCCGTGGTTCGGGAGCTGCCCCAATCTGCGGCTGCTTCCCCTTCCTCGTCAAGCACCGCCAGCCTATCCCCTCCACCGGGCGTGGGTGGAGGCTTCCCCTTCCCTGTCTGGACCCACCGACGCCAGCCTGCCCCCTGCACTAGCGCACAGGCGTTGCCTCCGTCTCTTCTATGAAGGTTTGCTGTCACGCACATTCATTTGAGAACGCTTCAATCAATTTAGGTGTTTACCTTGTTTGGTCGTGCTTATTAATACAAACATGCATACTCTTTTCAACCTAGAATTACTTTATTTGTGAACTCATGTAAGCATGCTCAGAAACATTAATTCATCACACAGATTTTTTTCGTAGGACTTTAGCAAAGATGATTTCTAATTTCGTTAAACCACCACAGTGGTCTATATTTGATTTTGAAATTTTTATAGGTTCTTACATTAGCGGGTTTCCTGTGCTTCAATCGGGCGTCCAATGGTGGGCGGCAAGGGGGCACACGGGACTAGCAGGTTCATCTGTCACTTGCAGATGAGGCGTGCCTTGGGGATCCAATCCAACCGTGGGATGCGTCCTGCCAGTCGCACGCGTGGCCGGGATCGTCATCGCGGAATGTGGTGGGATCAGGAAAAACACTGCATCACCATAGAAGGCTAGGATTTTGCCCAAGACACATAGGAAGATGGTGCGGACCGATTTGAGTTGATCCCAGATTCTGATGAAGAAGGAGGTGATAATGGTCCATCCTTAATTGGCGGCGACGATGAGTTCGTGCCTGAGACGGAACCACGGGACATTGTTGCGCTGAGCAAAGCTCGTCCTCGTTTTGGGTAAGCCATCTTATCTTTCCCATCAATTTTGTTTTCATTCTGGTAAAGTCAATGATTTTCATAAATCCTATGTATTATTTGCAGTACAATGCTTCATGAATGGCAGCAAATTATTCTAGTGGAAGAGCAGCAATGTGCAAGGCAAATTGCAACCAAGGAACATAAGGGGCTTACGGCATGCTCCAAGGAGGAGGACCATAAGGCCAGCGCAAAGGAGGACAAAGAGCATAAGGACAATCCCAAGGTTGAAAAGGAGCATGAGGACAGCACCAAGGAGGAGTTGCACCACAAGGCCAGCTTCTCTGATATGGAAACTGATGACGAGGCAAGCTGGGTGGAGGATGGTGTGGACTTGCGAGCCATTCGTAGGTGGAAGAGGACAACTGGGTGCAGGATGGCGAGGACTCACATGGCTGTTCACATGTGGAAGGTGATGACTTTAAAGACAAGGTAAACGACCTGATCAATGCCTTCTTTCCTGCATACAGAAATGTTTTACGGAGTGCCAAACGTTAGAGACTATTAGGCTGCAATAGTATGATTTGCCTGAAGGTCTTTTGCTGGTCGTTGTAATTGTACCCATGATGTGTCCTTTATTTTTTGCAGAGTCCAAACCTTAGCGCTTCCCTAATGTTGTTTAGTAGTGATGGCAGAAATATGTATAGTAATGATGGTAGTGATATGTAGAAGGTATTGATGGGCTTTTGTTTGCTTGAACTGATGGAGTGATGGTTTATGTTTGAATGGGCTGTATTATTTGTGATTTGCAATGTGAACTGGGTTGTTTCATTTGTGATTTGCAATGTGAACAGGGCTGTTTTATTTGTGATTTCTGACGGCAATGATTTTTTATATGAACAAAAGCAACATAAGCAATGTTTATATATACAACATCAGTACGAAGGTTACATTTTCCAATCACAGACTGCACACTACGATTAAAAAGTGCTCATATGACATAAAAGTTCACCACTAAACGAAACAATTATAGCAACTAGTGTACCTACATATATGTTGGTTACAGACTACCATTGCATATGTACAACCCATCTTGCCAAAACAAAGCCAAGCATGAAATGGGCTATTTACATGACCATGCCCATTAATTGCTCAACAACTTCAAAGCCCTTTGAACTAGCTGGCTGTCACAACTAAGAACTTTAGGAAGCATGTCTAGTGCCTCTAGCCTCTCTTTACTCATGTGCGGGATCTTGTACCTATTCCCTCCATTATCTTTCATAACTTCAATCATGCATCCTTGTAGTGTGAGGAATACCCTATTCAGGATGATTGGGTTATAGTTTTCATATTCCATGATCACATTCTGGATGAGCTCATCCATGTCTTTAGATGTCGTTCTATCCGTTAATGACTGAAGAGAAGCAAAGAAACCAAGGTCTAGGCAGTTCATATCTAGCGAATTAGTCAACTGGTTCCTTAGGCGTATATCAAGCCCTGTCAGGGCTACTGCTCTAGCAAACTCTACATCATCTGCTGGTAGATGAGAAGGAGCATTGTTCTGTTGGATCCATATTGTCTTGTGCGCATCTTCTGGAGGCCAACGAACTTGTATAGCTGGTAGGAGATAGGAGATCATATAAGATCTGATTCTTTGTCGGTCAACCTTCACTGTTTTGTGATAGGTGTGCCCCTCGGCCTATTGTCACTTCTTCTTTTTGCTGGTTCCTAAAATTATAAATATTATTATGACAAGTAATACAATAGGGATTGCAAATCATATGTTGAGAAGGTTTGTACCGTTCGCACAAAAGGCCAAGTGCCTAGCTTCCCATCGAAATAACATCTACCTTCATCATCAAATCTTGGTCTCCCAACAGCACAAAAAACATGACTTTGTGAATTGCATTCTTGTTGCGCACTGTCCTATGTGGGTCTTCTTCATCGAGATGCATGTAAACTGTTATATCCTTCTTTGACCCATTAAACCATTTCTCATCTGTATGGATAATATTTTTCATATCAAGGAACTTGGGATTATTTGGCAAAGTGCTTGGATCTAGCATAGATACACACCAGCGCAACCTATCCTTTTTGTTTGCTTCTTTTAAATAGGGCCTGATTGCACTGGAGTGTCGTCTAAGCAATCCTTCTTTGAACCACCTATGTAGAGTGGTTTTCTTTACATCGAGAGCATTTGCTAATGACCTTATGGTACATCTTCTGTTTAAGGGAATATCAACAACCCTTGATAGGTCTACTTCAATTTTTTTACGACCACAATTCTTAGGTTTCAGTGATTTGACATCTACTGGTATGCCTTGTGCCTTGCATTTTTTTGCTCTCTGCCATATATGTTGTACTGTACGCAACTGCACATTGAACTTTGTAGCAACATGTGCTGTGTCTGTCCTTTTCAATTTGCCATTCTTGCTTCTCTGAAGCAAATCTTCATATATGTCTTGCCTTTGTCTTCCTGTCAAATTCTTGGTTGCATTTGATGCTTCGTCTTGGTGTGTTTCCTGAAATTCTTCGTCATCTGAGTCGGTCAACTCTTCTTCATCAAATATGATGTTCACAGCATCTATGTACATGCCAAATTCTTGTATGAGATCGTCCATGGAATCTTGTGCATCTTGTAAGCCAATATCGTCATCGCCTACCAAAATAATTTAGATAGTGCATGCATATTGTCAGTACATGGATGATGACACTTTGCATACAGAACTAATATTGGTAACATGTCTTGGAAATGGTGCAAATAATACCTCCATGTAGGTTTTCTTGTTCTTCTTGTGGATCGTTTAAATCAAATGGAAGGCCACCATCATGTGAGATATCCTCCCCTGTGAATTATCTTGTCCGGTAAGTATAGATTTTTTCTACTACAAGCTAAAAATGCATCTATTGTGCACATGTGCTTACATTCATGAACTTGTTGTTGTTCATCAATTTCATCAGGATCAAGACCCCAATGATGCTCTCTATCATTGTCAACTCCATCCACTTCATCAGTCTGACCTGCAGCTTGGAAGATGAGGCCAGGTAAAAGATCAATTCCATTAACATCACCTGCACCCAATACTTGGAATGGATCATGGATATTTTCTTGTTCAGCAGATTGGCTTGTTTAGATCAGGCAACTCCTGTCCTTCTATATTTTGCGTCTTCTATAGCCATGTAATCCTAAGAACTTGTACCTTTCAGTTTTCTAGTATCTGAACTTGTATTTATGTAAATGCAACTCCCTAAACACATAGTATTTGAGTTATGATTTTTTGCTCTCGAGTCTCAACTCTACACGCTAATTTACAAGTTACTCATTTGATTAAAAACAGCTGCTCAGCAAATTCTACATTTTTGCTGTAAATATTTTCGTGTGGGATTCTGTTAGAAATCAAATCGATTTAAAGGGATGCGTGTGTCTTTTAAAACTTTTGATGTCAATTAATTGGATACTCATTCAAACAAACTTGCAGACTGGGATTTCCTCATTGAGTGATGATGAGCATGTGGTGGAAAACTTGAACAAACATGGTTTGTGCAAGGTGAAAGTGCTACATGATCATCATCTAGAAAAAAAAGTGCAGCAATAGAGTTGCAGGTCCATCAGATGAGACGCAATGCACCTAAAGAATTTTCAAAATTTGCTGAGTCTCAGATCAAGAAGTGTTAAGGCATAGACTTTTTTGACACAAATTCGGGAAAGAAGTCTGCTTGCAAACTGGAGAGATGAAGCTGCATGGTATGTTTAACCAACTCATGTGTTCCATGTTTTGTGTTTTGTATATAGCTACTGTAATATAGTAATGCTGTTCAACCTAACAATTAGTTTTTCTTTGCATTGTTCTCTTATACCCATCTAATGAATTTGCTCTTAGTTTTGTGTTTTCTATGGCTACAAGTGCATAATAAAAAAGAGGAAGAACACATAGGAACAAGAAATCCTATCATAAACTTATAGGCCATGAAGACAAGAATCTGAGCACACTCATTTTAGGAGATGCAAGAGAAAAAACTAAAATCTGAGCACTCTCATTTTAAGAGAGATAGAAGATGGGTAAATAGAACAAGTACAATCATTTTGGGAGGCAGGCAGATGTGCTAACCTTGATGAAGTTCATGTTGTTCCTCAGTTTCTTTAGGATTGAGACCCAGGTGATGTCCTCCTACGCTTCTCCCAACATCCACTTCATCATGGTGTTCGGCAGGTGGCTTGTTCAGATCAAAGAACTGGTCTTCTTCCTCACCTGGTGTGTTTAAGTCAAGTATGACCATGGAGGTGAATGGAAGGAGAAGAAGGTAAATGCTTCTATGGCCATGGAGGGCAAGGGCTCAGGTGGATGGTAAATGGTGGAAGCAGAAGCTACGGGCGGTGACTTAACTGGACAGAAGTGAAAAGGGCGCCTGATTCAAAATTAGGATTTCAATTTTGAAGCTTTAAATTTTATGCTGGGAAAGTTGATTTTCAGTGCTTGCCGATTCGTTTGAGCGGTGAAAAGTTGGTGTGGATTTGTTTAAGTGCTGAATAGTGGGTGTCGTGGCAGGTTTTTATAAGATGGATGCATCTGTAGAAATGATAAGACGTGTGCACATTTAATGAAGCATGTTGCAGCATCTCACTTAGAATGATTAGGATATAGAGGTGTGCAGGTCTTTGTGCTCCCTCCTTGGTACTCAGCCTGGGCATTCGGTTAACCGACACCGATCGGTTCGGTTCTTCGGTTTTATAGTAAATTCGGTTACCTAAAAACTGCTAACCGATCGGTTCTTTTGAAAAGTGAGAACCGAGCAATTCGGTTTCGGTTCTTTTCGGTTCGGTTTCGGTTATCACCTTACTAACCGATTCTAAATTGAACATCCAGAAAATACATAGATCGATGACCAAATTCAACAAAAAGAAGAAGAAGATGTAGATCCATTTTGCCTCCGTCGTGCACACAGGCAGGCGTTGCCGACGCTAGAGAGGGCCACCGCTTGCGGACCTCCTCCCTGTGCGCTGTAGGGGGTCGCTGGACCTGCACCCTGCGCGCCGAAGGGGGCCACCGGACCTCCACCTGAGCACCACCGGGCGCGTCTGTAGGAGGTCTGCCACCACCGCGCCTCGCCTTGTTCGCCGCTGCAGGCTGCAGTGGCTCTCGCACGCCGCGTGCAGGAGAGTTGGATGGAGGAGAACAGGAAACGGAGCCATGGCCGCGGCCGCGGCAGGCGCATCCGACAGCACCGAGTGCTCAGATGCGGCGGCGGGGGTGCTCCCTAGGAGGGGGAGAGCACGAGGAGGAGCCAGAGCGCTGTGGCGAGCAGCAGCGAGAGCAGCGCCAGCAGGACCGCGGCAAGCGGGCACTGCCGCGGTGGGACGAGCGCGAGCGGGAGGAGCGGTGGCTGCTGCGGCGACGGATGCGGAGGTGAGGAAGCGGCGTAGTGGGGCTTGGGCATTGGACTCGGCGGCTGTGCAGGGGATGAGGGGAGTTGGATGTGTACGAGCTTTGTCTCTAGGGTTTGAAGGGTGCTCTTAAATATGATGGTAATTGGGCTGGCTGTTCATTCATGGGCCTCCTATCTAATGGGCCTGAGTTGCTTCGGTTCTTCGGTTAACCGAGCCCAGGAACCGAATTGACCCGGGTTATTTCGGTTAGTACAAGCCAGGAACCGAATTAGGAACCGATTTTTTCGGTTTCAGTTACTTCGATTTCGGTTCCAGTTATTTCGGTTCGGTTCTCGGTTCTCGGTTATTTTTGTCCACTTTGACTTGGTACCCTCGCCCATGTCTGGAGCGACACTAATAATGGGACGGAGGAAGTACCAAACAAGCCCTTAGAAATTGGTCCATTCCTAAATAAAATGGGACTGAAAAATTTTGGTTACAATGCAGACAGCCCGGCCCGGCCCATGTAAGCCGATGAAGGATGAACTGAATAAAACCTGGTCCTTCCCTCGCTCCAGCTTCCTCTCTGACGGCGGCGCCCAAACGAGCAGCCAAGCCTCGAAGCCTCTCTCTCGCCGCCGCCGGCGCCTCAGCAAACGTCGCTGCCGCCAGTGCAGGTGCGTTCCTTCTCCTTCCCTGGTACTTATCTCTCTTTCTCCCGCGCCTCTACTGCCTGGAATCATCTCAACGTCGGGCGCGCTTGCCTGAAGACCCGCGGAGGCTGGCGCTCGTCGCGGCAGTCAGTGCCGATCCCTTCCTGTCTCGCTCGGCGCGCCCGCGCGTCAGCGGCTCTACCGCAGGGCTCCAGTGTACCTGGGTTGTCCTTTTAATTCTCCAGTATTGATAGGATTATCGCCCGTGGGCTGGTGGTAGAACATGGAGGCCTCTAGAACATGAGAGCGGAAAGCCGGAAACTTTAGTTAGTTGCGACATGGTGGCACGCCGCCAGCATGGCTTTAGGCACCGCTTCTCACTTCTTGCCATGGTGGAGCCAGTGAGTTCATGGGTTGGGTCGCTTGATGCTCTTCTAGCTTCACCCTTCTAGAGCATGTTCGGCTGGGGCTGAAACGATCGTATACGATCGTGGATTATTATTGTTGCCTAGTTTGGTGTGAGAGAAAAATATTGTTTTGGCTGAAAATTTACGATTTATTACGACCAAGCGAACAAACTGCTAGCTTTCTCCCGGTTGGGGCATCAATGGTGTATTAGCT